GATAAGCACTCAGTGGAGAGATTTTTTCAAAAGACCTCTACAGTGGCCTAATTCTCTGCTCACATTGAAGTCTAGTAAAATTCCCACTGACTTCAAAAGCTTTCAAAACTGCTCCATGTTAGGCTAAGCCCAACCAGTATATTTTGAGTGAATTGATCCCAGGAGAAGGAAAGACCTGATTATCAATAATGGGATTGTCCACTGTTCATAAATGACCAGAGTCCATATCTCATCACTTTACATTCTAGTTTTCCATTATGAGCTTCTGCTGATAGGTGAAAGGGCACGCTGGCTGAAATATCATAACGAGAAAGGGAGGGAATTGGTCCAACAGCTTGGAAGTTGACTTTGGCTCTCTTATGCCTTCTCTCTCTCCAAAATAAACCTCTCTACGTTCTTAGCACTATGAACTTAATTTTGAGTTCAATGTTTTGATATTAAGAGACGCTTCTCTGTACGAAATAATATGTATGTTAGCAGTACCTGTATTTGCTGCTTGGCTATTTTAGAGGTCATAAGAACGTCCGTACTGGGTCAGACCAAAGGTCCATCTAGCCCAGTATCCTGTCTACCGACAGTGGCCAATGCCAGGTGCCCCAGAGGGAGTGAACCTAACAGGCAATGATCAAGTGATCTCTCTCTTGCCATCCATCTCCACCATCTGACAAACAGAGGCTAGGGACACCATTCCTTACCTATCCTGGCTGATAGCCATTAATGGACTTAACCTCCATGAATTTATCCAGTTCTCTTTTAAACTCTGTTATAGTCCTAGCCTTCACAACCTCCTCAGGTAAGGAGTTCCACAAGTTGACTATGCGCTGTGTGAAGAAGAACTTACTTTTATTTGTTTTAAACCTGCTGCCTATTAATTTAATATGGTGACCACTAGTTCTTGTATTATAGGAATAAGTAAATAACTTTTCCTTATCCACTTTCTCCACATCACTCATGATTTTATATACCTCTATCATATCGCCGCTTAGTCTCCTCTTTTCCAAGCTGAAAAGTCCTAGCCTCTTTAATCTCTCCTCATATGGGACCCGTTCCAAACCCCTAATCATTTTAGTTGCCCTTTTCTGAACCTTTTCTAGTGCCAGTATATCTTTTTTGAGATGAGGAGACCACATCTGTACGCAGTATTCAAGATGTGGGTGTACCATCGATTTATATAAGGGCAATAATATATTCTCCATCTTATTCTCTATCCCCTTTTTAATGATTCCTAACATCCTGTTTGCTTTTTTGACTGCCTCTGCACACTGCATGGACATCTTCAGAGAACTATCCACAATGACTCTAAGATCTTTTTCCTGATTTGTTGTAGCTAAATTAGCCCCCATCATATTGTATGTATAGTTGGGGTTATTTTTTCCAATGTGCATTACTTTACATTTATCCACATTAAATTTCATTTGCCATTTTGTTGCCCAATCCCTTAGTTTTGTGAGATCTTTTTGAAGTTCTTCACGGTCTGCTTTGGTCTTAACTATCTTGAGCAGTTTAGTATCATCTGCAAACTTTGCCACCTCACTGTTTACCCCTTTCTCCAGATCATTTATGAATAGGATTGGTCCTAGGACTGATCCTTGGGGATCACCACTAGTTACCCCTCTCCATTCTGAGAATTTACCATTAATTCCTACCCTTTGTTCCCTGTCTTTTAACCAGTTCTCAATCCATGAAAGGACCTTCCCTTTTATCCCATGACAACTTAATTTACGTAAGAGCCTTTGGTGAGGGACCTTGTCAAAGGCTTTCTGGAAATCTAAGTACACTATGTCCACTGGATCCCCCTTGTCCACATGTTTGTTTGACCCCTTCAAAGAACTCTAATAGATTAGTAAGACACGATTTCCCTTTACAGAAACCATGTTGACTTTTGCCCAACAATTTATGTTCTTCTACGTGTCTGACAATTTTATTCTTTACTATTGTTTCTAGGACTAATTTCCCCAGTACCTACGTTAGACTTACCGGTCTGTAATTGCCGGGATCACCTCTAGAGCCCTTTTTAAATATTGGCGTTACATTAGCTATCTTCCAGTCATTGGGTACAGAAGCCGATTTAAAGGACAGGTTACAAACCCTAGTTAATAGTTCCACAACTTCACATTTGAGTTCTTTCAGAACTCTTGGGTGAATGCCACCTGGTCCCGGTGACTTGTTAATGTTGTCTATCAATTAATTCCAAAACCTCTTCTAATGACACTTCAGTCTGTGACAGTTCCTCAGATTTGTCACCTACAAAAGCTGGCTCAGGTTTGGGAACCTCCCTAACATCCTCAGCCATGAAGACTGAAGCAAAGAATTCGTTTAGTTTCTCTGCAATGACTTTATTGTCTTTAAGCGCTCCTTTTGTATCTCGATTGAGGGGCCTACATATAGCCCAATATAAGTAAATCTTACTCCCATAGTCTGAGGTAGATAATGGACCTCCTAATTAGGATTTGTGTTTGAATTAATGGGAGTTTCCCAAAAGCTGTGTGAGGAACATCACAAAGGAATGCCGGATGCGGAATATGTCAGGGAATAAGCATGGGATGAGGATGTTTTGACTTATTTTCTAAATAGGCGAAGACCATCAGATGCAGCTGGTTGTCAGGAAAACTGCAGAGGCCCCAAAGTGACCACCAGGTGATATCTGGTCTTGATGTCCCCAGACCTCTGAGACCACTTAATTTCTCTTCTGAGAGAGGTGCATCTTGGACACTCCAGGCATGGAACCCCACGGGCAAAGGATAATCTTGACTTCTCCCATAGGGGCTTGATTTGGCATTACTCCCTTTTTGCAGCCAAAAGTTTGTGCTTGGTGCTGAGTTTCAAGTTAATGGCAACTTGATATGAGACAGGGTTTGGTTATGAAACTTAAAAACAGACCTGGTGGCAGTACTCCATCATGCTGCTGGAAACATTTAGCAATGCTTTTTTAAAGCTCAAAGAGGCAGTCTTATGTAAAATGGGATATTCTTCAAAATAGATAATTGTGTATGATTTTTGTTTTGTTTTTTTTGCGGGGGGTGGGGCGCGAAGGTGGTAATGGGTGGAATGATTTTTATAGTGAATCTGTGTGACAAACCTCTCCATCATCCTACTGAATTTCTTGTTCTAACCAAGAATACAACACAACTTTGTGCTAGACCATTCTGTGATGCCTCAGACAGACACCAAGGGGTAATTATTAGAGAAGTGCTTAATTAAGTATGAGGGTCCTATTCAACCACTTGTCGTACACAGCTTGTAACCCAGCCACAGCATGGGTGATGGAAGAGCAGTAGTTGCTCACCCTGAATTCCCCCGCTGCAAAGAAGTGAGCAGATGGGTTGGGGGTTAGAAGTAGCCCTGGAGCTGTCCTTTCTCTACACCTCCTCCCAGATGGCCAGCTGACATGCAGGAGTATGCTGCGTTGCAAAAAGAGTTGAAATAACTTTCTCGCTCTCCAAATCAAAAGGGGAGGAGTTGTGGTTGAATCTGCTTCTGGGACAACCCTGCTATGTGCCCCTGCCTTACTCTAGGCAGTCTATAAAGTTAGTCTGGCCCTATCAGGCTGGTACTGTGGATGTCAGTTTCCCCCTGCTTTCTCTTTTACACCATTTAATGTAATTCCACAACAAACATCTTGTCTCATTTCTTATTTGGGGTAAAACCATTTGAAAAATCTTATTACTCCCTCTCCCTTGCTAAGCCTCTACGAAAATCTCCTGGGAGGGAAACTCTTGATTTTTAAAGGCATGATTAGAGGGTTGAAATGTGGAAATGGTGTTAACCTCTCTCCTGCCCAGGTCTCAGAGTGACAGACCAACTGGTGTTGGCTGCTGGGCCTTTCTCATACACTGGGTTCTTTAGGACTTCTTCAGCATAACAGCTTTTGGCTGGGAAGCTTTGCTCTTTGTGGTTTTGGTTTTCCATATGGGGCATTCTGCTGCATTCCTGTAGAGAGATGGGTTAGGCATAATGCCCTGGAAGGCTTCAGTTTTCTGAAACATTGAGCAACTCCCGTGGCTGATGCTGACGTCCTTAGAATACGAGAATCCCAGAAAGCAGAACTCTGCAATGCCCATCTGATCAAAGCTTTCATAACTGCATGACTTGTGATCTAAATAAAACCATTATGCAAATTTGATGCAGTATAGGAAGATTAAAAATACCACAGTGCTACAGTCTGTCACAGCCTAACAACAAAAGCTCCCACTGCACCATTCTTTCTCAGTTACTTAAAGCTGCGTCTTCTCCATCTCACTGCATACCACCATATTTACCATCACATCTTAAGTCCATCAGGCATGGTGGGAAAAGGACAAGCAGCCTGTATGCTAAGTCCAAGTCCATGTATGTGCATGGAGTGTCTTGGCCAAGGGGGGCACAGAAGGGATTGTGTCTGTTTTAATACAGAGCCTGAACCCATCAATGTGGGTCTTTGGGTTTAACTATAACTGTATAGTCAGTTTTGTTTATCTCTCTCAGATGGCAACAGGGAGACAGAACTGGTTAAAAACTAGAAAATATTGTAAAGCCACAAGAATTGGCAGTGGGACTTGGAGTCATAAGAACATAAGAATGGCCCTACTGAGTCAGACCAAAGGTCTGTCTAGCCCAGTATCCTGTCTTTCTTTCAACAGTGGTCAGTGCCAGGTGCCCCAGAGGGAGTGAATAGGTAATCATCAAGTGATCCATCCCCTGTCGCTCATTCCCGGCTTCTGGCAAACAGAGGCTAGGGACACCATTCCTGCCCATCCTCGCTAATAGCCATTGATGGACCTATCCTCCATGTATTTATCTAGTTCTTTTTTGAAGAACCAGATGTCAGGTGTGGTATCTGAAACTTCACTGAATATCTTTTTGAAATTGACTAGATTTCAAGTTACAGTAATCCTTTTAATATAAACTTTTGGAATAGGGACTTTACTTTTTCTGAGTCTGAAGAAAGCTCACATTAAACGTCTGAATTTTTAGACTGAACTGACTTTTTTTTTCTTCTTTCTTCTCTTCCTCCTCTGTAGATATTGCTGTATAGAAGATGCACTATTACCGATACTCTAACCCAGAAATCAGCTGTTGGTACAAATACCTGCTTTTCAGCTACAATATCATCTTTTGGGTGAGTACAAGGCCAAAACTCTCCTTCTGTAGCATGAGGTCCTCAGCCTGGGACTTGTCTCCCTGAAATGGTGTCCTTCAGCACGTGCATATTACTCAGCGAGAAAGTGAATGGCATGGACTTGGATGGAGGCTTTTGTGATATGGCCAAGCATGACTGAAACATTACATTCAAACTAACTTCACTTCCAACTTAAATTGGAGGCAGACAAATGTCCAGATTTTTGGATATTGTCTTGTTGGTTTCAGCATATCAGTAGGCTCAATCCGGTACAAATAATAAAGAAAAATGTGGTCCTTGCTCCAGTGAGTTGACAGTTTAGGTTAGGAAAAACAATATAGAAGTTGCTAGTCTAGTCTCAGAATCTTGGATGTCCATCTGAATTATGGATGGCTCCTGGCAGAGACATTCAGGTATATGGACTGATTCAGATGCCTCTCCAGTCTGAATCTTTTGGGTATGGAAATACTACTTGAAAAGCCTTTCCTGGACATTGTGGCTCTTCTGTCCTGATCCAGGCTGGAACCAGGAAGTACCGAGTGTGTGTGTGTGTGTGTGTGTGTGTGTGTGTGTTGAAGAAGAGTAACATGGGAAGTTATCCAAGATCTTCTGAACATCAAAAACATTAATTTTCCTTTGAATAGTGTCCCTTTAGGTGCTCCATTTCAGATGCGCATGCACCTCTTGAGCACTGTGGGGATGCCGCTCAGGAGTCACATAAAGTGGAGCACCCATAGGGACACTACTCGAAGAAGAAGAAGAAGAGGTTACTCCCCTTGTGCAGGAACTGTGGTTCTTCAAAGTGTGTGTTCATATGGGTGCTCCGCTACTGCTCTCCTTCCCCTCTGCTTTAGACTGTGTTCTGTGTTAGACGTTCAGATAAAGAAGGAACTGCCCGCACAGTTCTATATCCCCTCTCTGTGGCATGAGATTGTACAAAGTGCGTGTGTAGAGCAAATGGATAGTAATGGAAAAATCTCTGATCAAGGGCTTGAGAGGTGTATGTGTAACCCACACACCTCCTAGGTGTGGTGTGTGTGTTTTTTTTGTTTTTTGTTTTTTTGGGGGGGGGGGAGAAGGGGGGAGAGAGAGAGAGAGAGAGAGATGACATCAAAATGACTATTTGTTTTTCCTTCATAAAACTTGATACCATGACACCAGGGGTATAAATTGACATATTTCCATTAAAGCCAGTGGAACCATACTGACTTACACCAGCTGGGATCTAGCTATGTTGGAAGCTGCTCTCACTGGTGACTATTCTTGTTTAGTAGGCCGTATCCTTAGCTGAAGGCAAGTCCATTTTTAATGAAAACCGGGACCTCTAAACTGAGATACTGTAGATGACAGCTCACAATAGAGCAAGTAATATGGAAAAAGGAGAGATTCTCCAGCAGGGGATATTTCTGTTTTCCATAATAGCATTATGATAGTCCTAACCTTCTGTACTAGGCTTGTCCTGTAACTGTCAAATCATTTTGTTTTTGTAACTTGACAATAGGAATGTACAGTACTAGCAAAGGGTCAGAAGTCCCTGACATTTCCGCAAGACTATCAATGATCTGTAACTGGTCTCTTATAGCAACTCAGTTTTCCTTCTCATTCTAAGTTCTCCCATCCTTTATCACTTTTTTTTTTTTCTTTTTCTTCGCAAAGGATAGAGTGACCTTTTTCTTTACCCCTCTGTTCCCAACCTTTCTAAAAACTGATAGTGATCTTTAACTGTTCCTTTTCCTTACCTCTTGGCGTTCAGTTTGCCTTGTTGCTCGCTGGAATGAGAGCTGATTCTGAGAGAAGAAAGAGCAAAGATTTTGCAAAGGTTCTTTGCTAAAGAGGGATAAAGGGGCAGAGAACTTGAGCATTATGGCTTTGAGCTACAGCTTTTCCCTCCCCTTCTGGATCACTGTTTAATGTTTCACGTGCTGAATTTAATCATAGGGCTGTAATTTTTTAAGAGATAATAGTTGAGTCTTTGCACCCTTCCAATTTAATGTTTTGGGGCTTGCATTAAAAACTCTGAGTGTGTTGGTAAATGATTGTACCTCAGGCTCAAACCGTCTTGACAAGATACAATATGGTGACCTATCTGTTGTAGAAGAGGCTATTTAATTAGCCTTGGAAGTACCTCTCTCAGCTTACCTGGCAGTCTGTTGCATGAGGTCAGGACTATAGTGGTTGGGAGGGTCAGATTGTGCTTTGACAGTGACTTCAGGACTTTGCTTCTTTCTGTGCAGGAAGGCTGGAGTTGCAGAAAAGTGCAGGCCAAACACATTCACAAGCCCATCTCAACCATTTACAGTGCTGAGTTAGTGATCTTGGAAGGGGCTTGTCTCTGTCTTGCATAAGACTTCAAGAAAAATGCTGTGGGTGTGTGCAGTATCTCAAAGTAAAAGATTGCAAGGCATATCTGAAAGGTCCTTAGCCAACTTATCAGGATGGGGTAATAACTTCCTTAGTTACAGTCCTGAGATTCCTTCCTACATACTCACTCTTCCCTGTAGCTAGACAAAGGTGGGGAGAAATGTCTGATACATTGGCTCTTCTGCAATTACTAGTCAACAACATTCACTTTTTAAGAAATAATACATTTCTTTTAGAGATCCCTTCTCTTTTTAAAAACTTGTTATGAAATGAATACACATCTATTTTATGTCATCAATTTTTTTGTGCAGAAGCCAGCAAAAAGACTAAAAGTCCAAAAGTTAGGCTGCAAATTTTATTCACACAGGTATACACACACCTCCCTACTCAGACACACATACAATGCAAGCATGCGCACACTTGCCTACACAGAGACACTTTTTCATACACTTTTTTCCAGGGGCTGCCTAAATCACTCATCCGGGAAGGGAGGAGGGTGGGCTGGAGAGGAAAAGATGGGGTAGTGGTGGAGGAGAGAGGATGGGGAGGGAAAGAGGCCAAGGATGAGAGCAGGGTGCGGGTGAGAGGGCAGTGAAGGAGGAGGTGTGTGTGTGTGTGTGTGTGTGTGTGGGGGGGGGGGGGGGGGGGG